AGGCCAGGGCACCCAGGCACGAGGAGCGAGCGAGTGGGGGCCGCTGCTTTCCCCGCCCCTCGGGGCCAGTCTTGGCAGGAAGCAACTGGTATGTTTCAAATGTTTTTCCCGGAAAGGGCTCGAGCCCAGGGTTCTCTTTTAGATGGTTTACCCCCGGTTTTGACGGGAGGTGGGCCGGCGAAATTATTCTGCGATGAATTCCGTGCGGGAGGTGGGCCGGCGAATTAAAATTTGAGGATGTCCCTAGCGAAACGCTTGTTTTTCAGAAGCGAAACGCTGGTTTTGCAGAGTTGGGGATGTCTCCAGCGAAACGCTTGTTTTCAGAATTTGTTGAGAATGTCTCGAGCGAAACGCTGGTTTTGCAGAGCCGACCGCGACGCGGAAAAGCGCCCCGCGCGCAGGAATTCCGATGATGTTTCGCGCGTGCCGCGTCCCGCGCGCAGGAATTTCGAGGATGTCTCGACTAATTCGTTTGTTTTGCTAGGATTTCCTTGAATTTTGGCAGGATGTCTCGAGCGAAATGCTTGTCTTTCATAATTTGTTGAAGACGTTTCGAGCGAACCGCTGGTTTTGCAAAATTGGGGGATGTCTCGAGCGGGGGCCTCGTGGGGGGCCTCGTGGGGGTCCAGAATTCAGAGGATGTCTCAGGCGAAATGCTTGTTTACACGTCCCGCTCGCAAGAATTTCGAGGATGTCTCGCGCGTCCGCGCCCCGCGCGCAGGAATTCTGAGGATGTTGGCAGGATGTCTCGAGCGAAACGCTTGTCCCCAGCACGTTCCGTAGCGCGTCCCCTTGGCACGTCCCGCGGTGCGTGCCCGTGGCACGTCCCCTGGCACGTCGCTTGGCGGGTCCCTTGGGACGTTCCGCGGCGCGTCCTCCTGGCATGTCCCCTTGTCAATTAGCTCTGGGGCAGCTACTATGTGTTCAGGCAGCTCGAGCTTAAGATTCAGATCAGGACTCGGATGCAGAGGAGGACTCGATCCACGAGGCTATAGAGCACAATCGCGGCATGGCACATCGCAAGTCAGCACGGCGCAGCACAGCACAGACTTCGGCACAGTACATCAAGATCGATAGACTCAGCATTGCAACTTGGCACGTTCCTTGGCACGTTCCGTGGGGCGTCCCTTGGCGAGTCCCCCTGGCACGTCGCGTGGCGCGTCCCCTGGCACGTCCCGCGGCACGTCCATTGGCACGTTCCGTAGCGCGTCTCCTTGGCACGTCCCGCGGTGCGTGCCCATGGCACGTCCCCTGGCACGTCGCTTGGCGTGTCCTTTGGGACGTTCCGCGGCGCGTCCTCCTGGCATGTCCCCCTGTCGATTAGTTCTGGGGCAGCTACTATGTGTTCAGGCAGCTCGAGCTTAAGATCCAGATCAGTTCGGTCAGGACTCGGATGCAAAGAGGACTCGATCCACAACGCTATCTAGAGCACAATCGCGGCATGGCACATCGCAGTTCAGCACGGCGCAGCACAGCACAGATTTCGGCATGGTACATCAAGATCGATACACTCAGCATTGCAACTTGGCACGTTCCGTGGGGCGTCCCTTGGCGAGTCCCCCTGGCACGTCGCGTGGCGCGTCCCCTGGCACGTCCCGCGGCACGTCCATTGGCACGTTCCGTAGCGCGTCTCCTTGGCACGTCCCGCGGTGCGTGCCCATGGCACGTCCCCTGGCACGTCGCTTGGCGTGTCCTTTGGGATGTTCCGCGGCGCGTCCTCCTGGCATGTCCCCCTGTCGATTAGTTCTGGGGCAGCTACTATGTGTTCAGGCAGCTCGAGCTTAAGATCCAGATCAGTTCGGTCAGGACTCGGATGCAAAGAGGACTCGATCCACAACGCTATCTAGAGCACAATCGCGGCATGGCACATCGCAGTTCAGCACGGCGCAGCACAGCACAGATTTCGGCATGGTACATCAAGATCGATACACTCAGCATTGCAACTTGGCACGTTTCCTGGGGCGTCCCTTGGCGAGTCCCCCTGGCACGTCGCGTGGCGCGCCCCCTGGCACGTCCCGCGGCACGTCCATTGGCACGTTCCGTAGCGCGTCTCCTTGGCACGTCACGCGGTGCGTGCCCATGGCACGTCCCCTGGCACGTCGCTTGGCGCGTCCCTTGGGACGTTCCGCGGCGCGTCCTCCTGGCATGTCCCCTCTGTCGATTGGTTCTGGGGCAGCTACCATCTGCTCAGTCAGCTCGAGCTTAAGATCCAGATCAATGCGGTCAGGACTCGGATGTTAAGGAAGACTCGATCCACGACGCTATGTAGAGCACAATCGCGGTATGGAACATCGCAGTTCAGCACGGTGCAGCACAGCACAGCCCCTGGCACAGTACATTAAGATCGATACATTCTGCATTGCATTTGCCCGTCGCCCAATCAAGTGTCTTTGAACAGTTGCCATGCCTTACATTTCTATATTCCTTTCCGGGTTCGTGGGTCGATCATGTTTTTTCCCGGAAAGGGCGCAGGCCCAGGGTTCTCTTTTAGTAGGTTTACCCCCGGATCTGACGGGAAGAGGGCCGGCGGATTTCTTGTGCGATAAATAACGAGTGGGAAGAGGGCCGGCGAATTAAAACGTCCGGATTTCTCGAGCGAAACGTTTGTTTTCAGAATTTGTTGAGGATGTCTCGAGCGAAACGCTTGTTTTGTGTTATAGATTGTCCTCTCCTGGGGACCAGAATTTAGAGGATCTCTCAAGTGAAATGCTTGGTTTCACGTGCCCAGGTCTTGAGGATGTCTCGAGCGAGACGCTTGGTTTCACGCCTCCAGGTTGCCCAGGCAGAGGTCAAGCGCCAGGATTTGTTGAGGATGTCTCGAGCGAGACGCTTGGTTTCACGCGTCCTCGTCGCCCAGGCGGATGTCTAGAATGAGGAGGTGTTGAGGAAGTCTCGATCGAGATGCTTGTTTGCACGTGTCCAGGTTGCCCAGGCGGATGCCTAGCATGAGGATGTGTTGAGAATGTCTCGAGAGATAAGCTTGTTTTCACGTGTCCAGGTCGCCCAGGCGGATGTCTAACATGAAGATGTGTTGAGGATGTCTCGAGCGAGACGTTTGCTTTCACGTGTACAGGTCGCCAAGGCGGATGTCTAGAATGAGGAGGTGTTAAAAACGTCTCGAGCGAAACGCTTGTTTTCACGTGCCCAGGTCACCCAGGCGGACGTCTCACATCAAGATGTATTGAGGATGTCTCGAGCGAACCACTTGTTTTCACGTGTCCAGTTCGCCCAGGCGGATGTCTAGCATGAGAATGTGTTGAGGATGTGTTGAGCGAAACGTTTGTTTTCACGTGTCCAGGTCAACCAGGCGGATGTCTAGAATGAGGATTTTAACAGGATGTCTCGAGCGAATCGCTTGTCCCCAGCACGTTCCGTAGCGCGTCCCCTTGGCACGTCCCGCGGTGCGTCCCCATGGCACGTCCCCTGGCACGTCGCCTGGCGCGTCCCTTGAGACGTTCCGCGGCGCGTCCTCCTGGCATGTCCCCCTGTCAATTAGCTCTGCGGCAGATACTATGTGTTCAGGCAGCTCGAGCTTAAGATCCAGATCAGTTCGGTCAGGACTCGGATGCAAAGGAGGACTCGATCCACGACGCTATAGAGCACAACCGCGGCATGGCACATCGCAAGTCAGCACGGTGCAGCACAGCACAGACTTCGGCACAGTACATCAAGATCGATACAATCAGCATTGCAACCTGGCACGTTCCTTGGCACGTTCCGTGGGGCGTCCCTTGGCGAGTCCCCCTGGCACGTCGCGTGGCGCGTCTCCTAGCACATTATGTGGCACATCCATTGGCACGTTCCGTAGCGCGTCCCCTTGGCACGTCCTACGGTGCGACCACATGGCACGTCCCCTGGCACGTCGCCTGGCGCGTCCCTTGGGACGTTTCGCGGCGCGTCCTCCTGGCATGTCCCCCTGTCAATTAGCTCTGGGGCAGCTACTATGTGTTCAGGCAGCTCGAGCTTAAGATCCAGATCAGTTCGGTCAGGACTCGGATGCAAAGGAAGACTCGATCCACGACGCTGTAGAGCACAACCGCGGCATGGCACATCGCAATTCAGCACGGTGCAGCACAGCACAGCCCCCGGCACGGTACATCAAGATCTATACAATCAGCATTGCACTTGCCCGTCACCCAATCAGGTGTCTTTGAAAACGCTGCCATGCGTTACATGTCTATCTTCCTTCCGGGGTTCGTGGGTCGATCATGTTGTAAGTATATACACTTCTCGATGTGTGCGTGGCATCCTTGCGCAGGGGCCATGCTAATCTTCTCTGTATCGTTCCAGTTTCAACGGATGAGCCCCGAAGGGAAGCCATGAAGCAACTGGGTCCTGTGGAGCCCGAGGCCTTCCCCCGGGACCAGCCTGGCGCCCCGAACCCTCTTCTCCGCGAGCCCCTGGGCCCGCGGAAGGCCTCGGGAGGCCCGGAAACAGCGACGAGCCTCCTCCTCCTCCTCCTCCTCCTCCTCCTCCTCCTCCTCCTCCTCCTCCTCCTCCTCCTCCTCCTCCTCCTCCTCCTCCTCCTCCTCCTCCTCCTCCTCCTCCTCCTCGCCGACCCGTGTCCCTCAGGACCGGCTGGCTCCGTGGCGACCCTCCCCTGCCACTGCCACTGACGGGGGCCTCTCGCTCCCGGCTCCGAGCCAGAAGGCCTGGGCGACCCCGAGCGGTGGGGCCTAGGGGACGAGGGCCCTCAAGCTGGGTCAACTTGCGCAGGCATCGCTTCCTGTCCTCGGGGCCCCGCCCCTCAGGGCCTCATCTTTGAACCGCCAACACGAAGAAAAGGGGGGTCACCGCCTCCTCCTCTCCTCCTGGAGGTCGAGGATCGAGACGGAGGGAGGGCCTGGGACCGAGGCGGCCCTGAGCGCTCCCAGGCGCCTGCTTCACGCCTGTTTGGGGCCCGGGGGGGGAGTCCGCTCCGTCGAGGCGAGGCGGTGGCGGGCCCCCTCGGTGGTGACCTCCCCTGGCCCCCTGGCACGGCCTGGTGCAGGGGGGCGCGCCTCCAGACCGCTCACCAGCACCATGGACCGAGGAAGCGTTCGCTTCTTGTCCAGCGCGCGCGCGGCGTTCTTGTGGGTCTTGTAGCCCTTGACCTGGCCACCCGGCGCGCACGGAGGCGCGCCCGGCCCGGGCCCCTCTCCCTCCCCCTCCGCAGGAGCCCAGCCCCACGCAGCCCTGCCAAGGACAGCCTGCGGCTGCACTGCCGCTCCCTGGCTCCCCTGCACGCTCCAACCCCCTCGCCCTCGCCCGCCTTGCACTCTGCCCGGCCCAGCTCCATCGGTGTCAGGCGGCAGCTCGGCTCGGTTATCCAGGTGCTGGTGGGAGAAATCGGCGATCGAATTCATCACAAACGGTCGGATGGAAAATCATGCCATGGCGCACCAGTCATTGCGCGCTTTGCGCGCGCTCGAACTCTATCTGTCTCGGAGCCTGGTGTATTGCGCGCGAGAGGGGCCGCGCCTGGGCCGTCCCCGAATGATCGGGGATCGTCGTCTCCAACGCCAATGCGTGGGTTGCTGAAGGCGCCATGAGGGTCAGTGCTCGGGCGAGGGACAAGGGTGCACCAACGAAGCACTGTGTACATGCATGGAAGCAATGTTTGCCGCCGCTGGTTCTCCGCTGCCACCACTCTCTCCACAAGCCAGTGATAGGGGAGGGGGGGGGAATGGAGAGGATCTTGGAGGCAGTGCAGGGGGAGACGGGGTTAAGGGGCGAGGGAGGAGGGGGCAAGGCGGAAGAGGCGGAAGCGGGAAGGTGAGGAGGAGGAACAGGAGGGCGAGTAGGAAAAATGAGAAGGAAGAGGATGGGAGGAAGAACGAGGACAAAGATGAGGAGGACGAGGCTGACCAGGAAGAGGGGAGAGAAGGGCTGTCAGGAGGAGCAGGGATGAGGAGGCCGAGGAGGAGGTGGAGGAGGAGGAGGGCGGGGGAGGAGTGACGGGGGCGGAGGGCAAGCACGGCGACGAGCTGGGCGACGCTATGTGGCCGTGGGTTGGCGCCAAGCGTGGCTCCCCAACACCGCAACCGCACGCACGCGACGAGAGGGGACCAAGCGCGGGGACCCGAAGAGCGAACGCGGCGAGGGCCAATGAAGACTCGAGCACGAGAAGGGCGAGGAGGAGGAGGAGGATCGGGGAGGAAGAGGGGGGCAAAAAGGTACCAATATCGCTCCCCCCCCCCAAGGTTCTGACCAGAATTTGGAAGCAAGTCCAGCCGTGGCGACGAGGGTCTCCCAGGAGGCCCAAAACGGCGAAAACGAGAGAAGTGTAGCGGTATTGGATCCTGTTCGTCCTCCTCCGAGGATGAGGGGGGCAAATAGACAAGCGCGTTCCACTACTCGCAGAATAATTAACTGCTCGCAATTGGCCTGGATCCGCCGCGCGGGATCTACGACCATAGAAGCAGGCACGTGTTTTTCGGATGTTTGCGAGTAGGCACTTTGCGAGCAGTGGAACGCGCTCGATGAGCATAGGGGCCGAGGGCGCACGCGAGCGCCGCCGCGCCTGGCAGCCCAGCGCCTCGAGGGAGTCCTTCCAGGCAGGGCCGGGGAGGCCAGTGAGAAAGCCACGGACATCGTGTGGCCGTCGAGCCAAGGCGTCCGACGTGGGGAATGTGAAAGGAACTGTTCGAAGAATGCAAACCCCCGACTAAGAACGGGAAGTGCATGAGTTCCTGCCTCTCTAAGGGCCCCAAGTGCTTCTGGCTTTCCCGAACTGGCATCGCTTCCCCAAGGCGTAACTCGACATTGCCGTCGCCGAATTATCCAGAATTATTCTTATTCTTCTTATTCCTCCTCCACCTCCTCATCTTCTTCCTCCTCCTCCTTCTCCTTCTCTGCCTCCTCCTCTTCATGTTCCTCCTCCTCCTCCTCCTCCTGCTCCTCGTCGTCCACTTCATCCTCCTCGGCTTTGCAGAGGTCTCTTTGCACGAACCGTGGGCTGTGTCAGATCACTGGGTAACGCCTTCACGCCATGGTGCACATGCGCATGGACATGCAACAAGTGATAGGGGCTATGACTTCATACATGGCCAGCTCGCGCACAGGACAGCGGCAGGGAGGAGCGGGGAGGTGGGAGAGGGGGAGGACAAGCTAGGTGCGCTCGCATCATATCTGACGTCCTACCCCTCCCTCCCATTCCTTACCATGGCGTAGATATCCGCTCTGCTCGCAGTTGGACGTCGAGCGGGGCGATGATGGCGAGAGGGCACGCGATGCATGGCAGAAGAAGCTGAAGCTTCCGCTCCCCCCTCCCCAGCCGTGCGCTCACACCCCCTCCTCCCCCGCCACCCCGTGCTCCACCCTTCCTGCCCCTCCGCGCCCCTGCCCCCTTCCTCCATGCCTGCCACTCCCCCCCCCTGACCACCGCCTTGCCCAGAGATGCGATGCCTTGATTCGTGTCGGTATGGGGTCCTCGGAAGTCCCGGCCCTTCCCCCGTCTTGTCACCCCAGGTCGTACCCTGACGATCACAGGGTAAGGCGAGGGCCCCTGGAGGCGTGACTTTTGTTGCGGCGCGAGCATATGCAGGAAAGTGGCCGTGAACGGCTTCCGTCGCGAGCCCAAGAAAGGTGCTGGAAAGGTGGGCGCTTCTTCACCGCGCACTGACTTCTCCCAGTTCACGAACGCCCGAGGATCAAGGTTCGAGGGGCATAGTTGTTGAAGGTTCTTACATTCGGACCTAGGCCAGCAGAACATCCCTCAAGAACATGAGACCCTCCGCCGGCCAAAACACAAAGAACAGCCAAGGGTACCCGCCCCAGGATGCACAAGAGCATCCAACAAGCACGAAGAACACGAGGGCACCGTCCCCGAACCGACCTCGATCGTACACACCAGCTCGACTGTATAAGCATTCTGGGGCCTCGGCAGGACTCCGGGCGACCTTCTGGAGTCCTGGAGGCGTCCGAGCACCTCTCGTCCCGTCCCCCCCCACCGCTCTGCCGCGAACGTGGCGACCCCGCCAGCGCCACCTGGGCCGCCACCGAAGAGCACCCACATTCGCTCCTCCTCTGGCGGGAAATCTCCCCCTTGCATTCGCGGGGGCCTCCCGCGCGAGGCGATCCTGGCCGACCTCTGGGGCGGAGGGCCCAGACATGCTCGCGTGGTGACAATGTCAGGGCGGGAGGCGTTCGGCCGTCTTCGGCCTCCCGGAGGGTCGAAACCGGCTCGGGACGAGAAATCACCCCTGGGGAGAGGGTCGGGACTCCTGGAGGCCCAACAGGACTGGGGAGAGGGTCGGGACTTCGGGGGCGGGGAAGGAGGGCGAAGGCAGAGGCTGGGTGCGCGGTGGGGCGCGCGTGGCCACCGCAAACGACGAGGGGAGCGTGGCGAGGGGAGGGGCTGGCGAGGGCGGAGGGAGGGAAGGAGCAGGGAGGGAATTGGGGAGGGAAGGCAGGGGGGGGAGGGAGCGAGGCGGAAGGGGGGAGAGGGGCATCGGACGTCTGGGGGAGAGCGGCACGTGCAAGGCGAGGGGAAGGGAGCAGAAAGACAGGACGGAGCGCAGGCGGGCAACGGCTGGACAGGCCACCTCAGGCGCGCACCCACGGATGGTGTAAGCCCGTCTGGCCCCCTGATTCTGAGAAGTGCATGCCATTATGCTGAGCCCGAGGGAGAATCGTAACATTCAGATGTTTGAATGCTTAACCTGTGTAGGTGAAATGCGGCTGTCTTAGATGCAGGAACCTACGCTGAACGCTAAGACACGACGCCAAGACACCACACTAAGACATCGCGCTACGACTCAACGCTAGCACCATACATACAACACCATATACACACGTCAGGGGGGGCGAGCTCTGGGGGGGCGAACATCGAGCCAGAATCGAGGATACATCGGATAGATCGGCGATACGCCGCCAAGAGCAAATCCGAACGCTCTTGGGCGGGGTTGATTGTCGGATCAGTAACAAAAACGAGTGTGCGATTGGGGCCCGATGCAACTCCCCGTCACCCCTATAGCGCTGCTGCTGAAAGGGTCACTCGAACATGCAGCCGACAAGGAGGGGGGGGGGGGGCGGCTGCAGGACAGCCAGGGCAGGACATGGGGTTCCCCAAACGGTGCGGTGACAGACCGTGCGGTGACCTCGAAATCCCCAGGAAAGCGTCACAGCACGGTCCGTCACGGCACGGCTTTGGGACCCCGGAGGCCCCAGCCGCCCGAGCAGTCCTCGGAGAACGGCACGAGCCCCAAAGCCGCGCGGGCACCCCGAGTCCCCGCTGACTCACCACGCGGTGTGTTCTCCGCTCCACACGGGTCACCGCACCGTGACCCCCCTGAGGCTTCCTTGTAAAAAACAACAACAACAAAAACAAAAAACGATACGCGGGGACACATTTTGTTCTAACATAAAACTTGTTCCACTAATCCCTTGCAACGAACGGGACGAAGTGCACACGCGCGCGCCGTCGCGCGCGCATGCCGAAATCCTCCAACAACCTTCGGTGTCCGCGGGCCCCCGAAGGACGCAGGGGCAGGCAGGCGAGACGCCAGCGAAGAGGCCCTCGCGCGCCCGCCAGGGCCCCTGCAACAGCGGCGCGGCAGGGCCCGAGCCTTGAGGGCCGCAGCGGCGGGCTTGAAGGCCTGCGGGCGCAGCGGTGGGTGCCCAGACATCCGACGTACCTCCTCCTCCTCCTCCTCCTCCTCCTCCTCCTCCTCCTCCTCCTCCTCCTCCTCCTCCTCCTCCTCCTTCTACTCCTCCTCCTCCTCCTCCTCCTCCTCCTCCTCCACCACCTCCTCCCTCGCCCAAACATACGATGCCGTAAGTTTCCCGGTAGGGCTCTAGCCCAGGGTTCTGTTTTGGTTTGCCGACCAAAAGTCCTCCGCCAAAAGGGTGTCGAGCACTAGGCGCTGGAATTGGACGCATAAGAGTGCGATTGCAGAGGGCGAGGGTCTCCAATATGAGTCTCGGCACGCGTGCATTCGGCACGTGCTTCCACGAAATTCTGGCCACGACAGGGCCCGAAGCGAGGGACCCAACTTGGCCCGCCAGATTCTTTACACGTACAAATGCGTGCGCGGACGGGGGCGGGGAGGGGAGGGGACAACATGCGCCTGGCGCGTGCGCGCGCGGCGCGTACTTTCACGTGTCCACGGCCCCCAAGGGGGAACCCAACTTGGGCCCGCCATATTCTTCACGCGTGAAAATACGTGCGCGGAGGGGGGGACCCAATAGGCGCCTGGCGCGTGCGCGCGGGGCACGTACTTTCACGTGCCCACGGCCCCCAAGGGGGAACCCAACTTGGGCCCGCCGCATTCTTCTCGCGTGAAAATACGTGCGCAAAGGGGGGACCCAACATGCGCCTGGCGCGTGCGCGCGGGGCACGTGCTTTCACATGTCCACGCCCCCAAGGGGGGGACCAACTCTTAGCCCGCAGGATTCTTTACACGTGAAGATCTGTGCGTCGCTTCCTGACGGTCCCGACCCCTCCCGTCGCGAGTCTGGATAGCGACCGTTGGAGGCATGCAAGAGCACATCCCTGCCCTCCCCTCCTCTCTGTGATAAAAAAACGCTAGCGCGCGGTGGCAGCGCGTCTGGCCCCGGGTGCGCAGCAGAGGCCGTTAACGGGAGGCCGAGCTGTGGGGTCCGAGCCGAGGGGGCTCGATGAGACGTGGTGCGTGCTCCGAAAAAACTGGCGTGCTGTCCCGCCTTGGGACACGTTGGCGTCGTAAGCTCGTGTGTGGACACTCCTCCTCACCCCCCCCCCAACCAGACAGAAAGAGAGAGAGAGAGAGTAAAACAGAGAGAGAGAGAGACCCTAAGACAAGTATGATAGCAGACATATGACGATAGAGAGAGATGGAACAACGAACAACTCACAAACAAGCAACGGACAAACAAAACAAACGACACCACACAAACAAACACAACAAAGAACAGCAGCATGCCGTGCCATCTGTGTGGCGTAGGCAGTGCGGCGAGGGTGCAAAACTGTGCGGCGCAAGCTGCCTGGTGCAAGCTGTGTACGAGCCGCCCACGGGGCGCCCACGGGCGGGCACCGGGCGGAACCTCGGCGGACCCACCCGCGGGCACGAGAGGGGCCCAAGCAGAGCTCACGGGGCGCCCAGGCGCGGGCACCGGGCGGCATCTCCGCTGACCTACCCTGGGCACGAGGCGCCCACGCGGCGGCGCCCACGCGGCGCCGGCGGGCGGGCACCAGGAGAAAACTCGGCCGGCCCATCCAACTCCGTCAGTGCAAGCTCTGTCTGCCCTCCAGTCCTTCTCCTTATAGTCCCCAATCAGAGCTTGCCTCTATAGGGGTCCTAGCGGATTCATATGGTTAGGTGAGGTGCGGCGCCGATTTGGTGGCCGGCGGCCGGGTGCCCGGGAGCCCGGGGGTGCCCGGGGGTGCCCAGTGCCCCAAAATTTCGGTGGCCGGTGGCCGGGTGCCCGGGTGCCCTGGTGCCCGGGTGCCCGTGGGTGCCGGGGTGCTCGGGGGTGCCCAGAGGTGCCCAGGGGTGCCCGGGTACTTTCTAGCCATGTAGCTCTTTAGCCTTATAGCTCTATAACCCAATAGCCCAATAGCCAATAGCTTATATAGCCCATATGGCCTATAGCCCAATAGCCCTATATAGTCTTATAGCCCCTATAGCCCAATAGCCCTACAGCACTATACCCCCATAGCCATATAGCCCTATAGCCCCATAGCCCTATAGCCCTGTAGTCCTATAGCCCCACAGCCCCAACAAAAACCTGATTGGGTTTTTTCTCTGGTATCATAAATATCTTCCCCCTGTCGCACCCCGAGGCCAGTTTTTAGGGCGGGCCGGGCGTTTCGCCTGAGACTTCCTCACCATTTATGACCCTAAAGCTTAAACATTGGCAACAGCTTCACAGATGGAGGGCGGGTGGTTTTCAAAACGTGGACTCGCCATAGCACCGCGCACAATCGTTCTCAGAATTTGCAAGAGCTTCACGGATTGAGGGCGGTTCCTTTTCAAAGTTCGGCTCTCACTTTAGCGCCGCGCACATTCTTGCTAGAAAATGCAAGAGTTCCACAGACTCCCATGATCGACGTACCAGAAACCGTGTTTTGGAAGACTTCACAACTATGAGAGCGCAACAGTCACGATGATTCGCGGTGTTGAAATCCCAGGAATGGCGTTCTGTCACGATTTAGGATCGTCAAGACGCAACAGTCGGGTTGATCCGTGGCGTTGGAATACCGAAGACCATGTTTCGGCACGTTTCAGTGAACTGTTGCAGGGGCCTATGAAGAGGAAGCTTGGGGGAGGGCTTATTCCAAAATCGTTGGTGACTCTTGGGTTTACACTGGTCCTCCTCCCCCTCCTCCTCCACTTCGTCCTCATCCTTTTTCCCCTCCTCCTCCTCCTCCTCCTCCTCCTCTGCAAGCACTGTCCGGGCAATGGGAAGCAACAGCAGCAAGAATAGCAGCAAGCATGTTCAGACTGTTCGCTTTCATCCGCTCGCGAACTACTCGACACGTACATCCCGAACCTTCGATTCCCGCCCCCTTCGCCCTCGATCGTGGCCCCCCTGGGGGGTGTATCTCCCCTCCCTGCCGCGTGCAGTTGGCGCAGCGCCTAGGACAGGGGAAGGAAGGGAGGAGGGAAGAGCCAAGGGGGGGGGAGAAGGATGGAGCACGAGAGAGATCTGCAGGAGGGGGGGGGGGTTAGGCGCAGGAGCGCAGGCGGCAGAACCCGACGGGCAGGTCGGGCGGACGGACCCTGACAGGCAGGGCCGAAGGGGCCCCGACGGCCGGGTCGAGCGGGCGGGTCGCGGAAGCGTCAGTCCAACATAAACCGCAAGGAAGTTTCGAGCGACGGCGCGATCCCCAAGTAGATCGCGAGGCAATCCACAGCGAAAGCATGATTCCTGAATGCTGGGGGCATGGCGCCGCAACAAACTGTGAGGGAGTGCCACGCGAGCGCGCGATTCCTGGGTAAACTCGGGGGAGGCCCCGCACGAGAGCGCGATGCTGGAATAAACTGTGAGGAAATATCAGGCGGGAGCCGCGGTTGTTGTAAACCATGGGCCAAG